CTTATTGAATATCTAATATTAAGGTTTGTTCTCAGTCAAAATTAACATCTGTAACCACCCAAGATAGGGCTTTGATTTCAAAACCCTAACCCTTATTGAATATCTAATATTAAGGTTTGTTCTCAGTCAAAATTAACATCTGTAACCACCCAAGATAGGGCTTTGATTTCAAAACCCTAACCCTAAAAAGTGATTTTTGGCACCATCTATGACTGATTTTGTATCTCAAAAAATATACATTTTTATATAAAGAAATGATATTCATACTCTTTCTTTGTTAATCATTCTTTGTAATTGTTGATATTAGAAACTTCAGGAGATTATAAGATTAGATGATATCAAAATAATAAGTTTAGCATATATAAGATTAGATGGTGCCAAAAATTAAGTATACAAACTATTTCTTTGTATAAATTTTCTCTTACACAAAAACAATAAGTCGACCCATCATCACTATGAGATTATGTGGTAAAATAATTAGTGTCTCTAATATTATTGTAACATTATTGTGACACCAAATGGTTTGAAAATTTTATTTAATAGTAATTATTAAGCAGCCCATAATGGTGGCTGTGATTAATTAAGAGTGGTAGGCTTTGACGGCAAGTGGTGAATATTTAGGTACATAGTTGTTAAAGATTATTAGCAAGTTTAGCAATAGGTTATTTTAATTGAAAAATCAAAAAGTTATTATTAAAAAATTAACTATTATCTCTATTTTTTTTTTTATGTCTTTTTGTAAAAATTAAAAAAATCAACTAAAATAGTATATTCCTAAAACAACTCTAAGATAATATTTGTTTAAATAATATCTATTATATAAGAAAAATGTTGATAGGTTTTTTAAGTACAATGTCCCAATTTTTTATTATTATTATTATTATTATTATTATTATTATTATTATTATTATTATTATTATTATTATTATTATTATTATTATTATTTTGTTGTTGTTGTTGTTGTTTTACCAAGTTCAAAGTCCTCCAAATCGAATTCAACTTTGTCTGCAACATTATAATCTAATAATTTGCATTAGTATTAGCTCCCAAAACATCAATTAAGGTGTTAAACTTTAGTTAGTGGTAAATTAGAATATTGACTCTTCTAAACTTCACTTTTTTATTTTTTTGAACTTCCTTCTGATTGATATTGTATGGACATAGAAAATGTGACACTTGATGATGAAGAAACTCAATGAAGAAAATGATTAGAACCACGTGATCACCATTTTCAAGATAACACCTCCAGCCATTGAATAGCTGAAAGTCATCCGATGCCGAAGTTAATTATCCAATGTTATAAAAATATTTAATAGACAAATTTCATATCCATGTGATGTTATCTATTTACAACAACAGTGTCTTGCTTAACAAATATTCTACGTGTTTTAGAAGTCTTTCTCACACCATCTCCACTTATTTAGAATTTCTATATCAATAGCTGTTGATATTAAGTTTTGTTCACATTCAAAATTAACATTGGTTCTCAATCATATTGGCATTTGTTTAATTGCTTTCTCTTTGCTATAGCATTATACGTCTACATGCTGATTAAACACATAGGCGACCCAGCTCAAGCTTTTTTGAGAAAATCTAAAAGTTCACCTAAAGAGAAAAATGTAAACGAGTTTTTTTTACAATGTAAATTTTTATATAAAATAAATTTTCTCTGTTTTTAAGCTACAAAATTATTTTTAAGTTTTAGTTTTTTTTTTGGCAGATCCAAATTTTTATTAGACACAAGTAAAATAAAAAATCTAGACATATAAAACAAACACTAATTTTAACATAATAATGTGTAAAAGAAAATTTATAATAAAATAATATAATCTAATTGGTGTATTTACTTATCTTAAAATGATCTGTGGATCGAGCTTGAATGGTGTTGTTTGATAGAATAATTTATCTGGGTCTTGTTTTGATCATATGATTTTGTTATGAAAACCAATAGATATGTAAGAAATTGTAGACCTTGTTTGAGTTTCTGATTAATATGTTGGAATCAAAAGAGCCTTCTTGGATTGTTTAATACTTCCTGATATGAAATTTTGGATTTGAAAGTTGTGGGCAAGATTAGTGTGATATGGGAAAACCCAACTCATCTTAACATTCTTGTTCAAATTAGAGTTTTATCAAAATTTTCCAAAAAATATGAATAATTTTTTTTTGATGAATTCTTTTCTTTCAACTTAGGCTAGTTGAAGACAGGTGCAACCAATTTTCTTGATGAATTCTTCAAAAATTATTATCTAGAAAATCATTTCGTTGTGTGTATGTGTATTGTGATTTTATTGAACCCTTTGATAATGATAATCTTGAACATTGTTTACAGATTCAATGATAATACTTCTTGTTTACCCATTTTTTGGTTTACTGGAAACTTACTTTCCTATGAGAAATGTTACTTTCTCATTTTTGTATATTTAAGATATACATATATATATGTATGCGCGCGCACACACACAGGGGTGACCATTGGTTCAATGGTAAAAATCTTAGCCTAATAACCTTGAAGTTATGAGTTTAAGTCTCGAGGTAGCCACTCTGTGTACTATGTCAAAGGTTAGGTGTGTATCCAATCTTTTCCTTCCCCAACACATGTTAATGTGTACTATTTGGGCATTGTTTATATATTTACACACACATAGAGATAGCATATCATATGCATATATGTATGTATATATGCATACATATAATCTACCCTTATACCCATTAGTTTTCTTGATTGTTTGTATCGATCTTTAGACCTTGAAATCATATATTTAATAAATTAGTAATTATATCTCTTGTATTAATTTTTTTTTTTTTTTACCAATTTTAGATTTACAGTGAATCTGCAGTGTCTAATTAGGTAGCATAATGGGGAAATGAGGAGTGGTACCTGGAGGACCCAAGACTAATAGCCCTTAGTAAATGGTTTTGTGTTACCTACTCTTCAGGGAAACATTATTTGACCTTCTCTCTTGACTTCTAAGTTAAAGTTGCTTTTAAATAGCAACTTTTGTGGTAGTATGCCATTTGTTATTTCTTTTGTTTTCAACTATTCTTATTGAAATGTTAGTACCTATGACTCATCAATTATGCCAATAGGCCATTGACAGAACTTACCCATGCTTTGGAAGTTTGGCAGTGATTGCAATTGCAAATAAAAACCTTTCAATAGGTATGCCAAGAAAAAAAAATTTAATTATGGTTTTGGAAAATATGTCTGCATCACTTGCATGTTCTATTCATTTGTGCTATTGCAGATTTTGTACTTTTTTCTTACAGAAAACATGTTGCTATTGTTTGATTATTGAAAGAACTAGGTAAAAATTGACTTATAACATAGTCCAATTATTTGAAGATGGTATAGAGCATCTTGGATGTGGACTAATGGGAATTTGTGCTCCAATTCAACATTCTAGTGTAAGTTGTAGAAATGTTTTATTTTAATTTTTAGTCAAAGCCTTTTGGATTCCATTTTAAAATAGTATTTTGTATGCATTGAACGTTGAAAGCATATGGCCTTTTTTTGAAATGTGCCTTCTGGATTTCCCGAAATCTCCAAGCAATCAATGTTGTATGGTACATTCTAATCGTGCTTTATTTATATATTTTGTTACTTAATAACTATCTTTCTAGAGAAAAAAACGCATACATTTTTGTGCTAGTTACTTTTTAAGAAGAAAACAAATTGATAGGTACTATTGTTTCAGTTTACTTTTTAACGGTGAACATATAATTTTTCGTTAGCTGCTATGTTTGTCATAATCTTATTCACTTTGGTATAGTTTTCTCTCTCTCTCTCTCTCTCTCTCGCAATTGAAGGTTGTTCATCATGGCTTGCCATATGAAAGTGTTCCATGGGAGCTAATTTTAATTTAAAACTTTCTTTTTAAATGGATGGCTTTTCTAAGCTTATATTTGCTTTAAAATTTGTATGGGTGCTTTAAGTTTTCCATTGTCCCATGTCTCCATGTTGATGATAGAGATAAGAATGTCGTAGTACCCCTTGACATAAATGCACACCAGCCCCAGTATTTTTGTTTAAGAGTTCTATAGTTATTCTAGCTTGCATTTGTGGACACATACTAGCAAGGTGGGTAAGTACAAGGTTAGGTGGGTTTGTGATTCAAGACCTCTCTTGCCAAAGTACTCCTGGCTTTTGCCAACTCATACGACTATGAATGGAAAAAAAAAAATGTCCTCTTAAGATTCAATGAGGAAACTTGACTCGGGCATTATGTTTATTCACTAAAAGAATTACCCTAGAAACAATAAGCCTAACAGAAAATATATATAGTACTTAAATAGTACTTTCTTTTGCTCAAATGTGTTTGTCTACTTTGTTTTATCACATACCTTTAGATTTGAGTTTTGAACTCTTGATTTAGAATATCAAAGGAAGCTACCAAGGAGAGTTACTGATTTTAAAGAGGGATTATAGAGCAAACATAATAATTGGCCAAGGTTGGTGGTGTGTTTTCCTATACCTAATCTTAATCTTCTCCTTCATACTTGGCTTCTATTTTTTTATTTTGTTATTTTTTATTTTTTTGTATACAAGTTTTGGATTCTAAAATTTAGTTGTGGTTTTACTCTAAAACTGAACACTAAACCAAATGCTTTTAAAATTAAAGACAGTCTCTTGCAGGAAATTCATCCAGTTACTTCTGGTCACAATATGGTAAGATATTGAGGTAGATTTTTTTATTCCATTTGCTATTTTAATTATATCTGATTTTTTTATATATAAATTAATTATATCAAATTGTCATTCACAAACCTTTTCCCTGCAATTGAATAAGGGTCATTCACAAGTTAGTTCCTCTATTGGCTCAATAATGGTAGGTAGATGTACATATATTCTAGAATTGCTTAAAGATTATATGGCTCCATTGTGTTAGTTCCTCTATGTTGGTGGTTATTCCCAGTTCCTCTAAATCTTTAGTGTATAGGCTAAATTCTTCTGGTTGTGCTCAAGGCCATCCTGGGGTTCTTAGTGAGAGAATTTATTTAAACTCTTCTTTTTTTTTTATGGGGCTTTGGTGAATTTTATAGTAGTTGCAATGTGAACGAATAATGTAGAATTGTCTTTGATGTTATTAAACTGTTGCTACTGATTAAGTAACATGTGAAAATCTAGGTAATACCCTTTGAAAGTTCATGAATCATGATGCTTTGGGTTATCTTTATGGATATGAGGTTTGAATGCTTTTTTCGATTAGCTTCTCCCTGTAATTGTATGTTTCATAAGAAACATAACTATGTATCATCACCCATTAGGTACACAACAACCACATTGATTTTTGTTGCTATAGAGCATTACTGGATCTCATCAATTTAATTTAATAGGTACTGTTAAGAAAAATAACATTTATTGGTTTTATTTCTTCCCAAATGCTTAAAGTTTATCACTTTAATTCTAAATTGATTCCACATAGAAAATTGTATTTTGCATCCCAACTGTAACATTTAGCAATATTTTTTATTATTAATTTGTCAAACATGTGTATCGGAAGCTAACTTATTGGTTAGTCTACTACATACACTAAAATATTCCATCCACCAATTGTGTTACTTATTATTGATTAGTCTCTTGTATGCATGGACAAAATGGATTGGAAGAATGGGAGAGTTGGGGGTAAGGAACCCGGTCAACTTGAAATTTTAACTATTGTTGTAATTTCCTTTCAAATAAAATTTACATATTCTCAATCCTTATTGAACAAATTTAGCTTTTGTTTAATTGTTTGCATACAAATTAGTATATCAACCTTGGCTCCATCACCCAAGAAACAAATAAAAAATAGCTTTTTTTAAGTTCAAGTGTGAAATCTTGACTCACAAGTGATGTAGAATGGAGTTTTGACTCCTGAGTTTAATTTGGAGAAGCATTTGTTGAATTTTATTCATTGAATCTTATTTCATTTCTTCTTTGGTTTGCTTTTGAACAACCCAAAGGCAGAAGTAAGACATGCTTGATGACGGGCAATCCAGCAGAGGAAGTTGCAATTTTTGCCAAGTCATACTGAATCTCCAGGCATGCTCTTATATCCATTTTCTGGCAACTATGTTCTCTAATCAATTGATAGTGTTCTTCCTCATAATATGTAGTAATGATTGCACTGGGTTGTGTATTTTATGAATTGTTTTGAAGTTTCAAAGCTAATAGTTCATTATAAGTCATGATTTCTATAGAAATGTACATTTATGAAGACAATTGGATATGTTTGCAGAATGCTACTCAGAAAAGCCAGAAGGTATTTGTGCATGTGCTTTCAGAAATTGACGCTCATGAAATTAAGGAAATTGGTATGCCACTTAGGATAGAAACTTGAAATAGATGCTACATCTCTATTTTTTGGGAAGGACCTATTACAAATATACTTGTTTTTATTTTGGCTTAAATGGGTTTTTAGGAAGTTGGTTAAAAACTGATTTTTTGACTTTTTAAAAAAAATTTAAAAAATATATAAAAAAATAGAGAGATGATATGATAAAAAATAGATTAAAAGTTGACTTTTGACATTTAGCCATTTTCCCAACAGGGCCTAAGTTAACCCATTGGACACCCAACCAAAAAAGGTAATAACCCGTAAATTCCATTGCTTGCGTCTTGAGTTGAACCAAAGAGTGACCGTATCCGACCCACCCATATCCAACCCGCTATCTAAATGGATGATTTTGGGCTAACACTCTTTTGATCCATTACCCATTTCAACCTGCCCAAACACGCCCATTTGCCACCTCTAGACTATTTTGATTATGGCAATATTTTCAGATCTTGGTATGGAGAATTTTTACTTAAAACAGTTAAATCAAGATATAACTTGAAATCTTTATTCAACAGCAAACAGAAACATGAACAGTCATTATTTACGAACTAGATTCATTGTTTGGATATATTGTTTCAACAAGAAACATGTTTGTTTCTTGTTTGATGAAATGCCTCAATGAGTTCTCTACATAAAGGTAACATAGTAGGATTGTACTTGGTGGCCATATCACATGTTTTGAATATTTCTGTGCAAAAATTTATAATGTTAACTGTGTGGGATTGCAGGTTTTGACCATATCAATAATTTTTTTATAATAAAAAAATGCTTAGATTTTTAAATGTCTAGAAAAGGTTTTTAAAGTTGTGAGTTGCAAAATGCTATGACCATTATTTACCATAGTAGCGATGATCCTGTCCTAAAAATGTTTTACCCTTCTAAAGACATTTTATAGTAGAATAGATATAGATATAGATTTATTCTTTCATTGAAAAGGAGAGAGGGGCAGGAACTTGTTGGGTGTGATAGATTTAGCACCTTGTAATAGATCTTATGCTTGATAGAAATATTAGATTGCATAGAGTCATCGAATGAGGTTGTGTGCTTTACTGTTGCTCTTGATACTGCTTTGGTGTCTTACGTTTTGCCTTTCTTGTTGCTTGTAGAGGTATTCTTTAATCGGATTTTAAATAGCTTCTTTGACTTTTACAGATATCCAGACTCGTGAGGATTGTTACAAAACATGACAACTGTAGCTCTACCTACATGGGCACCTGCAAAAGGTGGTAATGAACAAGGTGGTACTCGAATTTTCAGCCCCTCCCAGAAATACTCTTCAAGTGACATTGCCTCTCACACAACCCTAAAGCCCAGGTTGGAACTTCTGCAATTTCCACATTTTAAGGTTTATAATTCTCTTTAGGGTTTGATTGCATAATATGAATATTCTGGAAAACCATTAAGGTGGATACTATCTAGTAAAAGCAATTATATGGTCTGAGGTAATGATCTCCAATTGTGATCGTTAAGATGCAATTTGAGATTTGAGTCCCCTATTGTCACGCAAGTTAAGCCTTTATGATTTTAAGGATTTTGACAACCCCTACCAAGAACTTCATATTTCAAATATTTGGAAACAAGAATTACAATTTATACTTGATAAAATGGCTAAGTTTTAGTATATAATGTATAAAATGAAATCTGAGTCTTTCAATTTGAAACGTCATAAACAGTAGGTGCACTGAAGCAATTTCACTCATTGTGAGGAAATGCACTCAAAAGACTCAGATCAATGACACCTCTGCTTAGAAGTTGAAATTTTCACTTGTAGTGAGGAAATGCCCTCAAAAGGTTCAAATCAATGACATCTCTGTTTAGGAGAAGTTGAAATTTGAGGATAGTTTCTACAATAAGAAAGCTTAATAACCATGTGCTGATAAAGACGGTGATGGTCTAGCCTTGTCAACCCAATCATGATACTTAGGGATGGGACTTAACTAAGAAATTTGGCTTTAATTTCTTTCTGGTTCTTTACAATTTCCGCCCCTTGTCCCTTTCTCTGCCAATAGGGGGATTGTGAAAATAATTATTTGGAAAACATTTTTTAGTGAAGTGATAAACATATTTGAATATAAGGGCCACATGTTTAGTTTCCCAGCACAAAAGACGAACACACAACTGGAGCTGGGGGTGTTCTAAAATTGAATTTGCAAGAGTTTCAAAAATATTGTGGTGGACAACTGATGTGGGGTATGGGGAGCCCCTCTATTTCAAATTCCAGGCGTCGTGATTTTTTTTGTTTGGGTTCTGGTAGTACTTCAAACCAGGCCTATCCGTTCTTGTTTATTTTTTCTTTTTTTAATTCTTTATTTATGTGGCCATGGTAATACTTCTATGTCATCTGCATATGCATGCAGCTATTTTTCTTTCTAACGCCTATCTACAGAAACTGTTCACTGATTGGAATATTTGTTGCAGAAAGGATGGGCAAGACACTAAAGAGGAATTGCAGAAGAGGAATCTCCGTGATGAGTTGGAGGAGCAGGAACGGTGGCATTTCTTGTTGAAGGATATGTCCTATAGTGGTAGAGAAGCTTTTGACAACCTTTTTTGCTATATGTTTCTTCCTTTACTATTGTTATTGTTTTGTTGTTGGACAATATTTTCTAATTGTTTTGTATCAAATTATTTATGGGTGCAGACGATAGAGATCGTAGAAAAGGAGGCCATCTACTATTGGAAGGTGAGTACTACCTTCCATGCTTTGTGTACCAAAAACACTAGCTATGCATACGTAATTATTCAACTGATTTCCTACTTATTTTACAGGGGCAAGGAGAGATGCTGAAGATCGCCTCATTCCACGCAGTGTAGATGCCGATGATGCTGATGTGGAACTTAAGAGCAATGATGGAAGGTTGTCACTCATTGCAAACTTACCTGAATTAATTCATATGTTAACAAAAAGCTTATACCAATGGCCTGATTTGTCAACTTGTGGTGTGATTATCGATTTATACTTGATAGACCTTCTCCATTTTTTTCAAATCAGTTACTATAAAGGATGAAATGTTTTTAAAGTATAATCTTGAAGACAATATGCAAATGTGCATGTGAATATAGTTGAATGTTTTTTTCTAACACTTGATTTTGTTATTACTGACGTGTAAATGTACTATTTGAATTTTGTTATTACGAAAGTGTCATTATTTTGTGTTTAGTGACGATGACGATGATGAAGATGATGAGGATGACACAGAAGCTCTTTTGCTTGAACTTGAACAGATAAAGAAGGAACTTGCCATTTTTTAAGTTTCATGTTCAGTTGAATTGAATTAGATCTAGTAGCGCTCACTATTAAGAAAGAGTTTGATTGTGCAAGTTTGACTTTTACAAATTAAGCAATCAACAAAAGTATTTTTTTTCTCTCAAAATGCTGTGTGTGATATTGGAATCAGCAGATATTTTCTTTTGGATTTGTTAAATAATGTTATTATAATTTCAAATGGATGGATTTGAATGAAATAACTCTGCAATTATAGTTATTTATCATTGAGGGGAAAGAAAAAAAAAAGCAGCAGCTAAACATTTTCCCAAACATTTGCAAAAATGAGATTTTATCAATGACCAAATGCACAAACCATTCACAACTAAATTGAAGACGAGCATTGGAAGCATCTTCTTAGTATCTTCTTAGGGAAATGTAAAAAATCATTATAAACTAATTGCAGTCAATATCATGCTTAATTGAATCAATGTATACCAATAAAATTTGACACATTAGATGCTATAATCTCTCACAAGATAGAGCAAAATGGATTGTTGTCATAGGGAACAGCATAGCCGACGGCTACAAGCTGGCATTTGTTACAACAGCGGTCAGGTATACATACAGGCGTAGGGGGTTTGGGCGGCAGTCAGGTATACATACAGGCGTAGGGAGTACATGATTGATCGATTACTTTTTACATCATGCTCACACCATAAATAGAAGAAAAAAAACAAAAACAAAAACAAAAACAAAAAGACTGTCCTAAAGAGAAAATGTAGCCAACAAAACTTGATAAATGCACTGTCCACATATTGGTAAAAACACATCCACTCTAAAACAAACAATTCTGATATTTCTTTTTTGGGTTCTAATTAGCTCAACCAATAATGTACACGCGTTTTTGAGGAAGCAATGAACATTTCTCAGGAAGCAAGCACTAAAAGCACGCCCAGCAGCGCTCTACGTCTCACTCTTCTTCAGTTCATCCAAAACAAATTCAGCATACAAATCCTTGAGAGCAATGACAACAGTAGTTATCAGCGGTCCCATTATTGCTCCCTGAACCATAAATTTCAACCAGTGTTAATCACTACATTTAAATCAAATATTTACATGCCAACCAACAAAAATAATTCTTTCATTAGAGATTGTACAAAACCATTTCAAACATCAGATTAATAAACCAGTAAATGAATAGTATTTATGAGCAAATACAAGGAAACCAAACCAAAGTTATAATTTAACTTACAAACAGTGCTAAATACCTTTTAATCACAACATTTAAATCAAATCTTACATGCTACCCAACTAAAAAAATTCATTCATTAGAGATTGTATAAAAACCATTTCAAATATCAGATTAATAAACCAGTAAATGAAGAGCATTTTTGAGCAAATAGAAGGAAACCAAGGTTATCAATGGAAACCTTTTAACAGAGATAGCAATCAACAATAGTTGGTAACTTTTATTTCATCACAATGAAAATTTAATTGACTGTCCTCTTTTTGTTTCGCCTACCAAGGATTCAACACCTTTTTATCACGAAGTGTAGAGGTTATTAACTACTAACCAAATAATTCAAGTGCAATAGAAAGTAACGGTAATGTACAAGTCTCTTCAAATCAAAATTTGATCTACAATATGATAATTCCAGTTCAATCAGTTACCATTTGAACTATCAAATCAAAATATGAATACATAGAAGCACATGTAATGCTACCACCAGTAAGTGTTATTGAACTAAAAAAATCATAAACTAGAGTGCAATAATTTACTAAATATGAATTCAAGGAAGCACGTGAAATACTACCACATGTGAGTGCTATCTCCACCTCGCTCCGGAGATGATTATCTCGAGCCCTGAGAATTAAAAATCGAGTGTTATCTATAGATTCAAAGAAAGGCGGAAGTGCAATACGTAGCCAGAAAATTACCCGTCATAAGAGAAGTCATCATCCAAATTCAAGGCATCAAGTTTGAACGTTATGGCAAAGTGACAGAGTCAAAAGGTGCATGAGTTGCATCTTCTGGCAGATTAACTTCTACAGAAGCAAATGCTTTTCTCATGGTTATCAGAAAAAAATTGTAGTCTTGGTACAGATAGTTGACTTTCTTTGAATATATCCGAACAACGCCCAGTCGAAGATGACCTGACATTCTTAGTGCAATGTGAACTTTGGGATACATGATGTGCTCTAGAAGAAACATTCAGGGGGGAAAAGATTATTAAACATAGTGATGGCATCCCCATCATCTTCTAAACACACTAAACATACCCCAATTCAAGCATGGAGATTTGCTAACTAACCAAGTTCTCTTATTAACATCTCCCTCTCTTAACTTCATGCTGCTGCAAACGTGCAGGCATGAAGGTGAAAGCCCACCTGCATATGCACCAACTGAAATTATAATAAATAAATATGGATTTAAACAATCAATCCAACAGAAAAGAGTCATAGACAACTCAAAATGCAAGGTGAGGGGGGAAGAAAGAAAAGAAAGGAAAAGTAGCCCTAAACTAAAAGGTATATATCTCATGGACCTATTTTAGTAATCTCTCAACTGATTATAGCACAAACACTTCTTTTGTTTAACAAATTATTTGAATTAATAGTAATCTATGTTCCTAGTATGGTGCCTGAAATCATGATTCTTCAAAGTTGGGTTGCAGAACAAAAGTCCAATAAGCAAATAGGGTATGTTGAATGGGTTTATACAGTAACATCAAAATATCCATTCATTTCTCAGTTTATACAATTCCCAGAAAATTGCTAAGGTAATACATCCAAACCACTTTAATTTTGTTTCTCATAGGAAAATCAAGCCACCACAAGAGTAATTGGTAGAAAAATAAACAGATTTCAATAAGCAAATAAAAAATTAGTCTCATATCAGTTACATGGTTACAAAATTCAATTACCAACACATCAGATTTCACACAAGCCAAATTTCAAGTGTATATATATATATATATATATGGAATCAACACAAGATAATGCATTAAAATACAGGACATCTAACAAAAGAAAGGGAATTTCTATTACTTAGCAAATGAGCAATTCTGGCATGAATTTAGACCATGTCTAGCAGGGACATCATTATCATTTATCATTCATTACAAGAACCAAGGATGTGAAATGCAAAACAAGGGCATCATTGTCATTTATTAGTCATTATCCTTACAATAACTTTGTGATTGGAGGAAGGGGGGGGAAGATTAATATGATTTTATAATTATCCGATCCTACTGCTCCTTTAAAAAAAAAAACGCGAACAAAACAATAAAGAAAAAACTAGCCATTGTGGCATTTTATCAAACACCTAGCAGACCCAAAATCAGAAACATGAGACTTTACTCTGTGTGTGTGTAGAATCATCAACAATTCATTCACTTCAATGATTATATTGGGTAGAATATGAATATCATAATCAAAATACATAACATGTTAATCATTCTGTTTTCTATATTTTTTTTCCCAAATTAAAATCATTCAAGTTGTTCATGGAACCCTTTAAAGTAGAGAAGTTTTGGAGATGTTAGAACAAACGAATGGAATGACTTTAATCTCATCTTAACAATGAATTCCATTTACAGAAACACGTCCGAAAACAGAGTGAGGGTAGAGAATGAGAAACCCAGAGACCAGAAGAGAGAGAGAGGGGTAGAGAAAGAGAAACACAGACAACAAACTGACCTAGAACTCACGGTGGTGCTGTAGCTTGATGTCGGTGCAGGATGAACTCACGGTGTGGAGGATGAACCGTCCTCACGGTGGAGGATGAGCTCACGTTGTTCTCTGTATGGATAGATTATTAGGGCACAAAAGTTCTAACCAAGGAGTTGAAAACAATTGGGCAAATTACATATACACCCCTCCAGGTTTGGTTAAATTACAGATACCCCCCTGAGGTTTCGGAAATTACATCCCGCCCCCTGAGGTTTGTATTTTCATAACAATTTACCCCCTGAGGTTTATATTTCATAACAAATTACCCCCTAATTTCTTATGCAAATATAGCATTCAGGGGGGAATTCGTAATTTCTCAAACCTCAGGGGGGTATCTGTAATTTTGTCAAACTTGGAGGGGTGTATATGTAATTTGCCCTAAACAATTTAGGCGCTAACCCAAATCAGAATTTTTTTAGCGCTTTAATTTTGGGTTTATGTAAAGACATGGAAAAATATCAAAAAAAAATAAAAATAAAAATAATTCATAAATTGGACGGGTAAATCAGAATTTTTTTAGTGCTTTAATTTTAGGTTTATGTAAAGACATGAAAAAAAATGAAAAAAAATAAAAATAAATCATAATTCATAAATTGGACGGGTAATATGAAAGTATTCCTGCTAAAAAATAAATGTGTGTTTTATGAATTTTTTTAATCGTTAAAATTATAATTTGTTGTAGTGAGAGAGAGAGATATGAGAGGAAACTGATAAACACAAAAAAAAAAAAGGAGAAAAAATTAGTAGAGTATTTTTTTTTTCATTACTGCCCAATTTGTCAAAATTTTCCATCCAAAATTAGTGACAAAATAATTTCCTCAGTAAAAGGTCTCAAAATATTAAAAATTATTAGTAACGAAAATATATTTCTCACCAAATAATCTTAAAATATTTAAAATCAAGTTTTTTTTGAAAACAAAATGTAAAATTATTGGTGGCGAAAATATATTCCTCACTAATAATTTTATAATTAGTGACAAATTTTTTTCTCACCAAAAGTCTCAAAATTTTGGCGCCACCAAAAAAATTTGGCAGAAAAGCCTTCAATGACGAAACTTAATTTTTTCTCACCTAAAAATAAGTATTTATTGACGCAAATAAATTTCGTCACCTATTATTTTTATTTTTTTATTATATGTAACAAAATTTATAATTCGTCACAAATTGTTCTTATTTAGTGACGAAATTTATTTTCTTCACTACTTTTCATCACCATAGGTTACTTTTGTTATAGTGAAAACAGTGTAACTAAGCATATGAGTAATGAATTTTTAAATACTACAACTGTTAGAATACTCACTGGATTCAAGAATCCCCTCACAGAAGTTGCATGGGCATGTTGTAACTGCCTATTAGGAATTAAAAATGTAGGTGTAAAGTTGAGGAGGCCGACGCTGCTGCTGCTCCGACGCTGCTCCTCCGCCGCTCGACGTCGATCGATCGAAAGAGAGAGAGAGAGAGAGAGAGAGAGAGAGGGGTAAGAAGAGATTAGGGATTTTTGGGTTTGAGATTGGGGATTTTTTTGTTTTTTTGGGGGGGGGATAAAAAAAAAGGGAGGAGCGGGAATGAAAAAAAAAAGGGGGCGAGAATAAAAAATAAAAATATATATATTTTTTTTAGTCACAAATGAAATTTAAATAATAAAATAACGTCGTTTAATTTTTTTTTTTTTTTTGCGGCGGGGGTTGTCGTCATCAAAAAAATTTATTTTTTGTTAAAAAATATATTTTTTTGTAGTTAATGATTTTTTTTTAAAAAATATTATTATTATTTATTTGGTAGAAGTAGGGGTAATATTTTAGTGAAAAATATTTTTCACTAAAATAAAAGTTAATTTTTTGTAGTCAATGAAAAATATTTTTCTGCGGCCTATTTTTTTTTTTTTTTTTGTTACTAAAAATCATGAACTAATTTTTTGTGGTAGAGAAAAGGGAGCGGCAATAGTGGTGAAGATGGTGGATAAGAAATGATGGTGATGGTAATGGTGATGGTGAAAGAGATTAGTAGTGAAGTTGTGGTAATGGTAGTGTAAATAGAGTGACAGGGATGAAGAAGAGGTAATGGTAGTAGTAATGGCAGTAGTGGTAGTGGTGGTAATGAAGTGGTGGCGATATGGTAGTCGTAGAGGTGAAGTGGCGATGGCAGTAGTAATGGTAGTCGTAGAGGTGAAGTGGCGACAGTGGAAGTAGTGGTGGTGGTGGAATAGCGTTTGTAGTAGTGGTGAAGGTGGTAGAGGAGATGGGTGGTGAGAGAGATAAATGAGGGAAAGACAGATAGAGGAGAGAGAGAGATAAAGTGATGAGCGAGAGAGAGAGAGAGAGAACGCAAACACAGTGGGAGAGAGAGAGAGAACAACGCAAACAGAGAAAACGGGAGTGAGAGACTGAACAACGCAAACACAGTGTGAGAGAAAGAGAGAGAGAGAGAAAGAAAAAGAGATAGAGAGTGAGAGACAAAAAAGAGACATAGAGAGAAGAGAGATGAACGAGAGAGATAGAGAGAAGAGAGATGAGCGAAAGAGACATAAAGTGAAGAGAGATGAACGAGAGAGACAGAGAGAAAAATAGAGAGAAGAGAGATGAGCGAAAGAGACAGAGAGAGAAAAGAGATGAGAGAAGAGATAGATGAGTAAGAGACACATAGAGAGACAGACAGACAGACAGACAGAGAAGAGTGATGAGTGAGAGAGAGAAAGAGAAGAGAGAAAGGAAGGAAGATAAAAAAATAGATGAAAAGATATAGACAAAGAGAGAGAGAGAGAGAGAAAAAGAGCGAAAAGAGATAAACGAGAGAGAGAGAGAGAGAGACAGAGAGAGATGAGCGAGAGAGATAAAGAGAAGAGAGACAAAGAGAGAAGAGAGATGAGAGAAATAAAGAGAAGAAAGATGGACGAGAGACAGAGAGAAAGAGAGACAGACAGACAGACAGAGAAGAGTGATGAATGATGAGTGAGAGAGAGAAAGAGAAGAGAGACAGACAGACAGAGATTGGTTATCAACAAAATGGTGTTAGTTATGAGATGTAGTTATGAGATATGTGATTGTAGTTATGAAATATATGATATTGGTTATCAACAAAATGGTGTTAGTTATGAGATGTAGTTATGAGATATGTGATTGTAGTTATGAAATATATGATATTGGTTATCAACAAAATGGTGTTAGTTATGAGATGTAGTTATGAGATATGTGATTGTAGTTATGAAATATATGATATTGGTTATCAACAAAATGGTGTTAGTTATGAGATGTAGTTATGAGATATGTGATTGTAGTTATGAAATATATGATATTGGTTATCAACAAAATGGTGTTAGTTATGAGATGTAGTTATGAGATATGTGATTGTAGTTATGAAATATATGATATTGGTTATCAACAAAATGGTGTTAGTTATGAGATGTAGTTATGAGATATGTGATTGTAGTTATGAAATATATGATATTGGTTATCAACAAAATGGTGTTAGTTATGAGATGTAGTTATGAGATATGTGATTGTAGTTATGAAATATATGATATTGGTTATCAACAAAATGGTGTTAGTTATGAGATGTAGTTATGAGATATGTGATTGTAGTTATGAAATATATGATATTGGTTATCAACAAAATGGTGTTAGTTATGAGATGTAGTTATGAGATATGTGATTGTAGTTATGAAATATATGATATTGGTTATCAACAAAATGGTGTTAGTTATGAGATGTAGTTATGAGATATGTGATTGTAGTTATGAAATATATGATATTGGTTATCAACAAAATGGTGTTAGTTATGAGATGTAGTTATGAGATATGTGATTGTAGTTATGAAATATATGATATTGGTTATCAACAAAATGGTGTTAGTTATGAGATGTAGTTATGAGATATGTGATTGTAGTTATGAAATATATGATATTGGTTATCAACAAAATGGTGTTAGTTATGAGATGTAGTTATGAGATATGTGATTGTAGTTATGAAATATATGATATTGGTTATCAACAAAATGGTGTTAGTTATGAGATGTAGTTATGAGATATGTGATTGTAGTTATGAAATATATGATATTGGTTATCAACAAAATGGTGTTAGTTATGAGATGTAGTTATGAGATATGTGATTGTAGTTATGAAATATATGATATTGGTTATCAACAAAATGGTGTTAGTTATGAGATGTAGTTATGAGATATGTGATTGTAGTTATGAAATATATGATATTGGTTATCAACAAAATGGTGTTAGTTATGAGATGTAGTTATGAGATATGTGATTGTAGTTATGAAATATATGATATTGGTTATCAACAAAATGGTGTTAGTTATGAGATGTAGTTATGAGATATGTGATTGTAGTTATGAAATATATGATATTGGTTATCAACAAAATGGTGTTAGTTATGAGATGTAGTTATGAGATATGTGATTGTAGTTATGAAATATATGATATTGGTTATCAACAAAATGGTGTTAGTTATGAGATGTAGTTATGAGATATGTGATTGTAGTTATGAAATATATGATATTGGTTATCAACAAAATGGTGTTAGTTATGAGATGTAGTTATGAGATATGTGATTGTAGTTATGAAATATATGATATTGGTTATCAACAAAATGGTGTTAGTTATGAGATGTAGTTATGAGATATGTGATTGTAGTTATGAAATATATGATATTGGTTATCAACAAAATGGTGCTGGTTATGAGATGTGGTTATGAGATATGTGATGAGAGCTCATAACTAAGTTATGATTAATTTGATTCTAGTTATGAACAAATATGATTTTGGCTCATAACTATAAAAAGTGACCTGCTTACCAGGTCACTTTTAATGATGTGGCTCAATCTGAACCATTGATTTTCTATGTACCATACATTTTTTAAACAAAATGTACTATAGACTTTCCCTCGCGGACCCCGTACTCTTATTGTTGAACCAGCTTGGGACCGCATTCCCTGGAAGGAATATGCTGTATATACCGCATTCATATAGTACCTATAGGATGGAATCCACAATTCTAACTGTTACTAAATCCAGTTAAACACAAATGTTGCATAGGGTGAGCAGTGGATATACTGATCCGTCAAAATCGACCGAACCGAACCGAACCGATCTGTCACATTTTGGATGGATGCGTAATGACGAGCGGATGGTTGCGGATTGATTTTCTCCAATCCGCCAATCTGGCGGACGGATGGCGGATTTGAGATTCCTTTGGCCGCAACCGAACCACCAAACCGTGAGCACTCCTAGTAATTTATAAGACTATGTGTTTTCAGTTTGTTTAAATATTTTATTTGTGTTTTCAATTAAAAAAGAATTTAAATATTCTGTTGAAAAAAAGTTTTCAACTTGAATATCTTTTTTGAATTGAAAAAAATAAACGTATTATTTATGTATATTTTTTGGTTTTTAAATCTATCTCTAAAAATAATAAATAGAAAATATGATATATGCTGGTTGGTTTTTGTTTTCAAAAACTGATATAGATGTAACAATATAGAGACATACAATCTCTACTACTACTCTGTTTATGATTTTGGTGGTTTGAATTGTTTTTATATTTTAAGAATCACAGATTGTAATACTTTACGTGGATGAGGCATGTTGTGATTGTAATATTCTAAAGTTTCAAACTTTCTTACTTTGGATGAGGCATGCAGTGATTGTAATATTTTTTTTAAGTCATTGACTGTAATACTTTCTTCTCTCTTTTTTTTTTGAGGAAGTGTACAAGTTGAATTATGTTAAAAATTTATAAAATTTTAAATCGTCAATCCACTGGATTGACGGACGGATGCGGATTGATTTTTTTCAATCCGTCAATCTAGCGAACGGATGGCGGATTGAAAATTCCGTAGCCGCAACCGACCCGCGCCCACCCCTACTTTGCATGACTATTACAAAAAAACATATATATATATATAGAGCATATTTCTTTTAGGATAGCATATATACCTCATATATTTTTCACGCCAATAGTCTCAATATTTTGATTCTTATGTTATTTTGGTCATTATTATTTTAATTTACTTGATTTTGACCTCGAATTTTTTATTATTATTTTAATTTGGTCCAATTGATTACAATTGGTAACATGATTTTATGAAAAATGCACAGATGAGTGGTTTGTGTCATACTTTCAGGAGCAACACTATAAATTCAATTAATTTAGTGAATTAATATCAACCAATTCAAAGTTCATTTCTATAAAAAAATAAAAATAAAAGAAAAATTCTAATGATATTGTGAATTGAATCAAATTAACACAAAATCTAAAATTAATAATTAAAATTAAACTAACTAAAAATGTAAGAACCAAAATGATACAAGAGATAAAATGTAGATTTTTTTCCTAAAATAAGTTTTACCCACATAATGTACTTTTTTTTTTTCACCTTTTTTTATGTTTTAATTCTCTTTCATTTAGAATTTTTGACATGCAAATGAGAGAGAGAGAGAGACAGAGAGAGCACCTGGAGTTCTCGAACTTTCCTTTTTGTGAATGTAAGATTACTGAGCAATTTCATGTCAAGGCAGTCCATGGATTCCAACTGAGACAAGCCCAAGTTGTCCATAATTTCTGAATCAATTTTATCAATGGATTCCAACTTGAACATTCCCTCAACCTCAACTAGTTTTACACAACCATATGTGCTCAGCATCAGTGAATTCAACAGGTTTGGTAGATTTGTTACCCTTTCCAGTGACTTGCATCCATATATTGTCATTCCCAATAAACTCATTGGGAGCTCTGGAAGTGCTTGGAGCTTCGTGCAGCGCTGTAAATCAAGTTCCATGAGCGCACTAAGATTTTTTATGCATTCTGGTAAGTTACAGATTGGATTTCTGCTGAGTCTCAATCCTTGCAACAAAGGCATGCTACTAAGATCCTTAGGAAATGTATTGTCGGTTAGATTGCAATCTTCAAGGCTTAAATATACTACAAATTTTGGTAAAGAAGCCAATGAAAATACAGGTCTTTTACTTGGTTTTGACACCCAAGACTTGACAACTGCTTGCCATGACTTAACCTCTCCAGTGGTTGAGGACAACATGTTTACTCCATCGGCTTGAAACTCTCTCAAAGATTTCATCTCGCCCAAATCTGTAGGCAATTCATCAAGCTTTGAACAACCCGAAATATTAAGTTTTTCAAGGGTATTAAGCTGAGAATTTTCCTTGGAAGCTTCTTAAGATTTTTGCAGCCTTTCAGATTCAACAATGTTAGGTTTTATTTCTTGGCAATCCCGTTTGACAAAACTCCTTTGAGTTGTAATTTTATTCGCATTTTTATTTCAGTTGACTTTGAGGTTGTTAGATGCGAATTCAACCCGAATCAAGCATTTCAGAGAAGTTTGTGATGATAAAGCTTTCAAGATTGCCACTTCGCTGATTATGAATCAACCTCTCAAGATTAGGACTCATGGACTCATGAACCTCAACCAACTTGATACAATCTTTAAGAATCAACCTCTCAAGATTAGGAAGCTTTGAGAAATCAGGGGAACTAGTAAGGTCGTAGGAACGAGTGAGATTGAGGATTTTCAATTGTTCGAGCAACTACCAACAAAAAGTAGCAAATTGGTATGTGTTATTATTCAGTAGTAACTATAATTCCAAAAAGATAGTAATAAGAAAATCAAAAAACAACAAACCTTAAAAAAGTGTCCAATAAATGAAGTTTGTTATATATATATTTAACTTTAGTGTGGTGTGAAGGCACACCCAAAATGAATTTTTACGTATTTCATTTTCTGAACATTTTTTGTGCACTTGTTTAGGGTTCATATCATTGTTGAGAGGAAATATGATAAAAGAAAGGGTTATTTGATTTTTGACAATCCAGTGATGAAATAATATCTGAGGGTAAAATTATCAATTTGCGTAATCTGTTAACAATGTTAACATGGTAGAGGTGCCAGTATAATCATCTCAAAACCTTAAGTTTAGTTATACTTTCTTCATTACTCAAGGAAGGACTATAAAATTTATATCCTTAAAAAAAAGAAAAAACCAACTAATCATACCTTGCTTCCCTTCCAAAATTGTTTCAAGCTGCTATTGGAAAATTCAAGAACAACCATGTTCTCTAGAGGAAAATCATCAGGTATAACTGTTAAAGGGAATCCATGCCAACACAACCATCTTAATTTCTTAGGAAATTCATCATAGCCTCCACTAAGATGTACATCATAGAGTTGGAGTATCCGTAGCTTGTGCATTTGTGAAAATGCATCAGTGTTTAAATCCAATTCACCTAATTCTGAAGGTTGTCCTGTTGAGGCATAATTTATAGGAAGCCAACCAAGACGGCGACGCTTTGATGATCTACGTTCACAAAGTAGATGTGCTATATGGCGAAGTTTTGGATTAGTTATTTTCTTGACTCTCATTTCTTCCTTCTGTTCTTGCAAGTCCAGGATAAGGCCTTCAATTGCTTCTGTTCCCTGATAAGAAAAGAACCAAATAAGTAATCACCACATTTAAAAAAAAAACACAAGTTGTGCTACATACACAAAACAAAGACAAAGGTTGTGCACAATTATGTAAGTCCACACACTTATTTCTCTTTCTTAAAAAAATCAAACATATAAAGATCTGCTTGTGAATCACAATTTCTTACAGTATTTTCGTTCAATACGTTGAAAGCATCCTTGTGATGCCATACTCTACTACGCCTTCCAGGTTCCTTTGGTGATTCTTGGCGAATAATTTCCCTACCCATGTCTCTTAGCAATTGATGCATTATGAGAGTATTGTTGTCAACCTCATTAATCCCTACAAGACATCTACGAATGAGATTTTGTACTCCAACTGTTGTGTGGAAGTCACATCCATCTAGTATTTTAACCATGTGATCTTTGCCTTTCCATGCAAAGAAACAAACAATATCAAGGAATAAATCTTTGTCATGATCATCCAAACAATCATAGCTTATTTGAAGTACATTGTGTAATTTGACATTTGAAAATCTTCCCAACTTTGTCAATGCACTTTCCCATACATCAACATTTTCACCAGAGAGAGAACAACCCAAGACTTCCAGAGCTAATGGAAGACCATTGCAGTAGTATGTTGCCTTTTTGGACTGCTCGACGTAAGGTTCAACAGGATGGTCTTGTCCAAAAGCATGCCGACAGAAGAGACAAAGTGCTTCAACGTCACTCAATTCCTTAACTTTGTACATCTCACACCGTTCATGAGCCTTTAAGATTCGCTCCCGTCTGGTTGTTATGATAATTTTACTTCCTGGATGAAGCCAATCTCGCATCCCAAGTATTGCATTTAATTGGTCCAGTTCATCAACATCGTCAAGAACAACAAGAACTCTTTTACAGCACATTGCATCTTTAATCTTAATGATTCCCTCATCAACATTGTGTATCCTTTCCTTTTTCCGCTTGAGAATGTTTGAAAGAAGTTGTTTTTGTAGACGAAGCAAACCATTGGGTTGTGTTGAAGATTCTCTAATATCTGCAAGAAAACTGCTACTTTCAAATCTGTCAAAGTTTTGGTTATAAGCAATTTTGGCAAGGGTTGTCTTCCCTATTCCACCCATTCCATAAATAACCATTATGCCAATATTGTTTGAGCCATCTTGAAGCCACAGATTAATGTCATTCACACGAGAATCTATTCCAGTTGGGTAGGGGGTGATGCTCAATACTGTTCGATCCAATTTGTTTGCAATCTCTTGAACAATTATCTTGATAAACTTTGACTCGTACCTACAAATTGTGAACAAAATGGAAACAATTATCTGAGTGTGTCATTACTAAAATGTGACCAAAAGCAACTAATAAGATGATCTTTGGAAGGAACAAGAAGGAAGTTGGCATGGGTGGATTGCATTTATACAAAGCTAGAGTGTGCCATATGTGCAATAAGCATGGAGCATGCACATGCACTTGATCAAAATGAAAGATTGAATGATGGAACTGTTGGGTCAGGAAGCCTAGATTGATGTAAACAAATACACACAAGAGAGAAACACAGAGTTTACGTGGTTCGGCAATTGCGCTCACCAAAGCAAAATAGGACACAAGAGTACATGGCAAACATAGTTTCCAACTCAACCACAATATTAGCCTTATGGCTATGTAGTTGATGATTTATAATATTTCTTTAATGTTGTCTGCGCATTATGGATTTAGGTGGATTATTTAATTATATTTCACTTATTTTTTTTCCTATCTAAATTCATGATCCAAACACATTTATCCATACTTTGTTTTTCTTTTTCAAATCGCTATCAAATTCGTAATTCAAAAACAACCTAAAAGAGAATTCTCTTATTTGTGATTGTTCTTATTGTTCAATTATCAGATTTACACTTCCTGCATCACCCTAGGTAGCAAGAGGCACTTCATTTGTAATTTTATTATAGATCAGAAAAAGGATGCAAGTATTTGATTTTGATCCATACATTTTCCTATCAAAACTTTTACAAAATCCTCCTGTGCTTGTCTTTAAAAATATATATATATATATATTGTTCAACAAAAAAAAAAAAAAAAAAAAAAATTTTTTTTTCAATTATTTTTCAAACTTTTACTGGCTTGCCTTGTCGATGTTTGTGGTGACCTTAACCCAAGTTTCCGTTTACCAGTCCTGCTGCCACTGCTACCTGAACATGTTTTACATGCAAAGCAGCAGAAACAAATTAAAACTGCCAATAACCATGCAAAAAATGAATCATTTACACCGCCACATTTTCCAGCATCAGGCAATTTACCAGAAGAACACAGACTTTTATGCCCCATGTCATGCCATCAATGTAAAATTGGAACACAAACATTAACATCAGACAGCCAAACTCTGGTTTTTATCTCATCACGCACTAGGCAACGAGTTCGTATTGCATGCATCACTATGAAGTACTAACCACTATCACTTCCCAACTAACTAATTTTATTGTTTTGGACTACATTTTTTACAAATCCAACGAACTGTAATTACGCATTTCAACAATAACATCCAACCATTAAAGTGACGCTACATAGATTACGTCAACGCATCAAACAACAATACAAATGTGTCACCACTTCAGTATGACTTTCACATTGTCAAACACGCTACATAACATGATTACGACTAAGCATTGGACACCAAAATGTAAACAAAAAAAAATTGGGGCCCAAACTGAAATTTGCAAATACAGCACTGACATGAATCTTGCACAACATTACAATTTTCTTCAATGTAAAATGACCAAAAACACAGTATGCACACCCCCACAGGTACATGATTGTATACACCACCAAACCATCTTCCCCTCAATCCCCCTCAGGTACATGAACAGGTAAACCATCTTCCCCTCAACCCCCCCTCCCCCCCCCCCAAAAAAAATAAAAATAAATTATACTTTTGAAATGTAAAAAACAATTTCCAAATAAAATTTTGAAAAATGCTAAAAACTGCCTTAAGGGCTGTTGTTATTGTTGGAAAATATGTAAAGAAAATTGAAATGTGTAAAACAATTTATAAAAATATATAAAAGTATATTAGGATAAATAAAATTGTATAGAGATTATAACTAATTTGACATTTTATATTCCTCGTTGACCGTTTTTAAAGCTGTTATTAGCAATACCTTTAAATTTTTTACCTACACTACTAAACTACTACACTATAACATATAAGAGTTTTAGAGAACAAAATTTTTAGTTTCTAAAAGTGAAAATTTTGTTACAGAAGACATTTAGAGAACAAAATAGGTAAATCGCTAAAAGGTCGTCTCGAAAAGTCAAAAATATTTAGTGACGAAATTTTGAAAATGTCACTAAAGACAAAATAATTTGGCCTCAAAAAGGTTTATTTTTTGAGACAAAAAATTTGGTTCCAAAAAGATAATAATTCATCACAAATTTTTAATTTTTGTTGCTAAAAATATAATAATGACTCTTTTCGCATCAAAAATATTTAGTCCCTATAAAATAATTTTGTCTCTAAATTTTAATTTCTAAAATTTTAATTTTTTGTAGTACCACCTCTACCACACTACCACCAATGCCACCACCATCATTACTGTCGTCACGGCCACTAACACCACCACTTTCAAAGCTACAATTGAAAAAAAAAAACATCAAAAATATTTTGATCATTTTTTTTTTTTGGATGGGTATATTTTGATCATTATCTCAGAGCAAGGCACGGAGTCCAACTAGAAAGGGGACCCTTCGACAAGAGGACAGCAGATTATCTATGGATGTTCATCTTTGGCGCCCTGTCACTACTGGTATGATAGACAATAAAACTTATGTCTAAATTACACTTTTCACCTATATAATTTAATTCAAATTCACTTTAATCTCTATTCTTTCAATTTGAATAATTTAATCTCCCTACTTTAAGTTCAGTTTTAATTTTGTTATTATGTCGAAATTACCCCTTTTTTTTTCCATGTATATATTTCAAGAGACTAACATTTGTCACAAAATTATTAATTTTAATTTTCAATTTGAATGAAAAGACTAAATTAAAACTGAACTCAAAGTGTAAAAATCAAATTGTTCAAACTAAGAAGTACAGACACTTCTAAAAAGATAACATATCTGTGTCGTGTCCATGTTGGACACCGACACTCTTTGGACACTTCCCCGACACGTGTCTAACACTCTTCAAAACGTGTCCTATTTTTTAAAAACCCAGACACTCTTTGGACACTTGGAAGACGCACGTGTGTATCTCTTAAACACACATATCTATCAATTAGACACATGTGAAACTAATTATAAGTATAAATAAAACAACTTAAGATCTAATAATAAAACAAAAACTATATAAATTTATAGAGATTAGTCTCATATTGTATTTTTTATTATCTTTGAATGATATATTCATATATATAACATATAATAGCTATATAAAATTATATATTACATGCGTGTCCCCCACGTGTTGTGTCCTGTATTTTTTGAAAATTAACGTGTCAGCATGTCTGTGTCGCATCTTTGTCGTGTCACATGTCCGTGTCCATCCTTCTTAGGTTCAAATTAAAAGAATAGAAATCAAAGTAAAATTAGAATCAAACTACAAGGATAAAAAATATAATTTAGCCCTAGTGCCGAATGGTGAAAAATAATCTAGTTTTGCCATGAAAACATATATTAATTATAGAATCAGAAACATAATATACTAAAATGGATAAAATTTTACACGGTTTGATGGTGGGGTTTACTTTGAAAAATCTTATCAATTTATATACATTTTGGTTTTATTTGATAATGTTTACTGTTTACTATTTTTTTATTTACAACAACTATTAAACATAAACATATTTTTGGTAAAAACAAAAACAAAAACACAACTGGTACACATGAGTTTTTCAAATTTTGTTTTGAAATTAAGTGAAAGAGGTGTGGCCAGAAGGACGTGATAATTGAAGATGGTTATTGACAATCACATATATTATGGCTAGATGTGGTTATTGGCCACATAGATGTTGTGAACGGAGGTTGTTGTTTCTGGCTATTGAAGATAGTTGGCAGTGATCGGCAGCCCTGGCCTTGAGGGTAGACAAGAGAGGTTGTGCCTTGGGCCCTCAAATTTGGGTTGAAAATAGGGGCCTCTAAATATAATTTTGTATTTCGGATATAAAAAAAAAGGCCCAAATACTATAGGCCCAAATGTGAGAAGAGTAGTGTTTATGTAATAGTAGGTTTAATTGTAAACTGGATATTGATAAACTATAAAGCAACAAGATTAGATTTTTATTTTTTTTTTGGTATTTGTAATGATTGCTTCCTTTCTTAATATATGAAGGTAAATTTTTGTTTATAACTTTAATGATTATGTGTGTAAATAAATTTTTTTGTGACTATAAACAAATAAAAAACTTGTTGTAACTTATCGTTTTATCCATGAACTCTTTTTTTTTTTTTTTTTTATGTAAGAGGGGTCCTATTTCCGAAGTTTGCGTTGGGCTCCCTAAATTTCAGGGCCAACCTTGGTGATTGGAGATGGTTGTCAGTCATCGAAGGTGGTGGCCAAAGGTGGTTGCTATCGATAGGAGGTACTGGCTAGAGGTGGTTGTCCAAGGAGGTAACCGGAGACGGGTGTGGACGGTGGTGGTAAAAGAAAAAATAAATAAAAATTCTAACAAGTGAAATCAATTTTTTATGGTTAAAAAATTTAGTAAATTTTGTAAATTGTTTACAAGATTTTTAAAATTAAAATAGATGTCAAATAGTTTGTTGTTTACAATTTTGTAAATATAAACAGAAAATTGTAAAAATAAAAGGCATAATAGTGGGTTTGGTGTGATTAATTAGGTGATGGCAATTGTTCCACTCCTGTGGAGTCCATTCATGGGGGCTTCCATAGTTTTTATGATAGTCTATGTTTGGAGCCGCGAGTTCCCAAACGAGCGTCTTAATATTCATGGCCTCTTTCAACTCAAGGTATGTTAATGTTTATGTTATCTTTCCATTTCTTTCGCAATTGCTATGATTATAAAGTAATGTTTGGTTGATTAAAATAAAATAAAATTGAATGATTATTGTATTAGAATATTCATTCTTATCTCACATATCGTTTATTTAAAAAAAAAAATGAAAAATTACATTT